TGCTCTGGTCTAGCCAGAACTGAAAGGTAGGACTTGGATCATGATAGGGGGCAGTGAAGAAACCTCAAAGAACCAGAGGAATACTGTGTGTTTCATTGGTGCTATACTGCACCCTGGTTGACTTCCTTGTGACCCTTCTGTGAGGGAATGTCCTATTGTCTACAAGTAGTTTTGGGATGTCTGTTCCAGCCCACCTCGTTCTCAACAATATGTTTTTGTGTTTTGTTTTGAGTCTTCTGATGCCTGTTCCCTGATCCATCGACACCTCGTGATCACACAGGCTGATATGCTCCTTCCATGTGTACTTGTTGCTTCTCTGCTAGATGGCCGCTTGTTTAACTTCAAGCCTTTAAGACCCCAGATGCTATGTCTTTTGATTGCTGGGCACCATCATCTTTCTTCACCCACATTTGCCTATACACCCATTTTGTCGTCAGTGGTCGTGTCAGAAAGGTGAGCATCACAGAATGTCAGGTTGCTAGAACAAAGTATTCTTGAGACCCACCAATATTTTAAAAGCCAGAGAAATTTCTCTTGTGGAACAAGTGAGAAATATTTGAGCTTAGAGCAAATTCATGTTGGGTCAAGAGGGAGGTCAGCTGACCAGATATCATATTATACCGTGGTTCGATCCACCATAATCAAGTTTTCAATAATCTCTGTCTAATAGTAAAGCTGTTCGAGTCCCTTGCCGATGGCTAGAGGGGATCTGCCAGACGCTTAATCTGACTAGATAGTCTATAGATGGATTTTGGGCTCCCTCTGCTCTCCATAGCCTTATACAAATTGGGTGTTCACAATTTAAACTCTGATACTTTCCCTTTCATATTTGGATTTTGTTATCATCTTTGGATCACACAGGATGGTGTGCTTCTTCAGTGTAGACTTAGTTGATGCCTCACTTGGATGAATGCTTGTTTGAATACAAGCCTTTAAGACCCCAGACACTATTCCAATTGATAGCTGGGCACCACTGTCTGCTTTCTTTACCACACTTTGCTGTAGCACACTTGTCTTCGTGAAGGTGAGTATCAAGCAGAGCCATGTTTTAAGAACTAACTGTTCTTGGATTGGGACTAGAATTACGTGGGATCCCAGAATCCATCTGCTTGTCCATGGGTTATGAATTACTCTGGTGTACTTAGGTGGTCATATTATGACAAAAACAAAAACAAACCCATTAGAAACAAAAAAGAGAAACATTGTCAATCATCCCTCTGGGGTATAAGGTTGCATTGATAATATCAAGAATGTATCCAATGGCATGGAATTTAAAGGACCGTTGATATAAAGTACTGTTGATATGCGAGTACAGTCTAACTGCAAGCCGTAACCCACGAGTTGTTCAATTGATTTCTTAATTTGAGCTCTGTTTACATTGAGTGTGGAAGTTGGTGCTAGGGGAAATTTTCTTTTATCATTTCTTACAAGGGCAGACCCTTGCCTATCAGATTAAAACCTGTCATATTAATGCAAGAGGCGCATTGAGACACTAAATATATGGTGGTACTGGGTTTCATTGGACACCCACTAAGCTAGGGGTTCTACCCAAGGTCCAACAACCATCATTTCCACAGTTTTGGAGTGGCCATCCTTTGCTTCCTCTCAAAGTATTTCAGTCCTGAGTTCAAGGGTACAGGTAGTTTGGAGGTAGGGCCCAGTTTGTTCAGTTGGGCTTCCACGTTGAGTCCTTCTGGTGTGACCCTTGGAGGATGTTATGTTCCCTGGGAGGCCAGGGCATCATAGTGCTTAGTCCATGGTGTGGTTCACTGAGGGCTGGGGAGAAACACATTCGAAGTGTCTACCCAGGAATATAGAACTGGGTTTATTCAATCCTCTTAGGTTCCCTACAATTAATGTTTAGCTTACCTTTGCAATGTGAGGTTGTTCCTCCCCATTCATGAACTAAAATATCAGCGCTGCCTCTGAATTATAGATGCTCCCCCTCTGAATTATAGATGCTCCAGGTCGTCACTTGATTTTCCAGTTTCTCCTCTCATTCCTGTGGAGGGCCTGTTGATTCATCACAGCCTTGTCTCTGTGTTGTAGAGCATCAAGTGGTCTTCTCCCTTTTCCCCCTTCTTGAAGGAGTATCCCAGCCAATGTGAGGTCTTCTCTTTCGAGGTTGTTCTTAAGAAGTGTACATAAAGGGGGTGATGGCTGGTGTGCAGACATTCCTTCCACCCCTTTGTTTTGGTTTGAATTGCTCTCTAAAATTTGTTTAATTGGTGTTTCTCTTTATAATGGTGGACTCATACAATATTTGTACTTTTGTGATTGACTAACTTCACACAGCACAATGATTTCCAGGCCCTTCCATGTCATACAGTGTTTGATGCTTTCATCGCTGCTTTTTTAAGGATGCATGGTATTTCATTGTGTATATGTACCATAGTTTCTTTATCCATCCTTCCCCTGTTGGGCATTTGGGTGCTTCCAGTTTCTTGCTATTGTGATCTGTGCTGCTATAAACATGGGAGAGCAATCATCCACTCGTGTTGTGTCTCTTATTTCTTTGGAGTCTATGCTGCACAGTGGTATTGCTGGATCATATGGGATTTCAAAGTATCCATATAATTTTCCATAGTGGCTGTATGTATTTACAAGTCCACCAACCATGTATACGAGTTCCAGTCTCTCCACATCCTCTCCAGCATTTGTTGCTTTCTGGTTGCTTTTTAAAAAATTGTTATTATTAATCATTTTATTGGGGGGGGGGCCCTTACAGATCTTATAGCAATCCATAATTCAGTTGTACTAAGCACACTTGTACATATGTTT